GTAGTTTGGACGTTATGAAAAGAGGGAATGGATCTGCTGCTTTATGTGCTGTATCTAATTGGATTTGGCAATATATAATACGATTCTCCAGTATCCATCAATTCCTGTGTTAGACCTGTTTGTATGGCCGTGTCAGTGGGGCAGCCTCGCTTGTTATGATGCCTGAGCAGCAATTATGAGGTAATTTTTGACTCTTGCTGCGTGAGGCCATCCAGAGGATACTTGAGGGGAGGTTCCTAATGAGTGAGCATTGATTGATTGGACATAATAAGTGCCCCACTCGGTTGAAAGAGTGTGAGAAAAAGGGGGAGAAAAAAGGGGGGTGGGGGGGGCTTGGGACGGGGTTTGGATGACAACACATTTCCAAATGAAGCAAATGAGCGGCCATTATACCTGTTAGCACATAGTGAGCACCACACCTTTGCCAAGGCAAGGAGAGCTGGCTCGCCGGCTCAGCCCGCCACCAAAACTCATTTACCCTTCACCAGTAAATAATTACCCTAATGGCTATTGTGTGATACATGATGCAATTAAAGCCTAATGAAATGCACCTCACTTAGCGAACGTGTCAGGTCCCACAATAACAGGCGCCAGCGGTCCCGGGCAAACGGGGCTTGCTACCTGACTGGCCAGTAATAGGGGGGTATCCTCCAAAGCCGACAGAAGAGCTCCCTAATCAGCTGGATCTGTCAGACCGCCATGTTTGTTTGCAACCGGGGGGAAATATTCCACCGAATTTGATGCAGGCTATTCCTGTTAGCAGAGCAGGGAATAATAGAAGCGGGTAGAAGAGAGGGCACAATCATCAACCCCCATCCTTTCTCCCCCACCGCGCTATAACCCCAGCCTCTCCTGCAGCTCCCCTCACCCTCGCCTCCCCCACCACTACACTCCCAACACCCCAGTCACTGTCAGGCCAAACACATGATGAATTGCCCTGTCAACAGAATTCATTCAGGGACCAATTAATTCAGCGGAAATGAACTAGAGCCATCAGTCGCTGAAAAACTCAGAGCAAAGAGAGCAAAGTAGCTCTCTTTGTAAGAAAGAGAGACAGTGTGTGTGTGAAAGAGAGGGGGAGAGAGCGAGAGGGAGAATGAGGGAGAGGGTGCCAGGGGAGTGCAGTGGAAGTTAGCCTGACAGGAATTGGTCATTTAATGCTTTAGCGCACTGGAGACAGCCCCTGTCATAGAGAAAGCCATGACAGGACTCCCCTGGTACTTTATTTATTAATTATCCAGAGCAGCAAGGGGCATTTAACTGTCTCACTCCAGGCCTGTCAACTCGACTTCTTGTCAATCCCCCCTCTATAAACAGGTCCTCATGACACAAGCCTGAATGAAAGCAGAAGACGTAATTGTTCAAACAAATAAATATTTTCATTACGCTAAATAAAGTCTATCGTCATGTTGAAGTGAGACCCCCTTAGACAAACACAGTATGTCTTTGAGGCTCCAGTGACCGAGGTGGCTCTCACCTCTCCATACATGAACATACATACATTTCCATTTGTTTAAAACTGAATCTTAAACTAATGAACTTCTTTCCATGAAAACTTGGATTCCAGATAAATGGGTAGATCCAGCATTTCTTTTTTTATTTCCTATAACATGGCGAGATATAGGGCGCTCTCCAAGGATCCTTCTAGTTTCCTTTACTTTGACCCCCACCAATACAAAGCAATGCCTCTTTGTGATCCATGCATGTGTACGTTATTACATGCCTGGAGAAGTAAAACTGCTCAGTATTTCACAACGAAAGGAAAAGATTGGAGAGAAATGTCTTTCTATCTGAGTGATCAGACCCCCTCAGAATCATGCGTGACCCCTTGTGAGGGTCCAGACTTTACACCCAAATTTATTGGATTGTTCACTGGCCCAGGCCTCATCCCTCCACCAGGTTTGATGCAAATCAGTTCTGTTCTATTTGCTCAGTCTTGCTGACAAATAAACAAAAGAAACCAACCAACAGAAGCAGGAGGTAACACCAACACAGAGGTTGGTAACTAATGCTATTGTAAATCCAGCAAAGAAAAAGGGGCCAAGGCACAGGAACATGCACAATGTCTTTATTATTATATTCTGTATTTTAACCTGTTAATTATCATCTTAGCTTTCTTATTTCTCCTTTTCTTCTCTCTTTACTGTTGACTCCTGTAGTGCAAACGGATTCCAATGATCTGTAAACTTTAACCTGTGCTGTTGTATCAAATGCGAGTCACTCTGTATAAACCAGAAAAATGAATAAATGAATGAACGGCTGACCTAATAATTGTTAAGTACATTTAGGCTTTTCTAAAGTTGGAGTGTTGATCTGACAGAAATGAGATGAACATGAGTATTTTCTTTTCTAAACAACAACATGTCCTCCTCCGTTTTCTCTGCTGGAAACTCGATGAGACTGTCGTCGACCTGTTCAGTCAAAGGTTTGATCTTTCTCTATTGTGCTGTGTTGATCAGCTGGTAAATATTTGATGGAACCTTTTGTTTAGCACATTATGCCTCGTGGTGTAACAGGAGGATGGAGCAAGCAGCTGGGAAGCTGCTTATTCACCAGGTATTCGTTACAAACATTACACAACAACTTGTAGCAAAACAACATCACCTGCAATGCCAGCATCACACAGAACTCTAAAGAAACAGGAAACTTAATGAAGGGACGTTCGATTACTTCTCAACCCTCATTGTCACACGTGTTGCAACAGTGTTGAGCTTAATAAATGTGTTAAATCCACACACTGGCTTCATAGTCACGACCCTTAACTGAGGACCTGAACCAACTGAAACCTGCTTCTCTTCTCTGCAAGTTTGAAACAAAGGCACTGGAATCCAGAGGAAACCAGAAATAAGAAGAAGAGCTGCAGTATATAATTAATTAAATGAGACTAATTAGGAACATGAGAGCAGGTGCCAAGCTATGGGCTGACAGCGCAGACAGCCAGACAACAGGAAGGAGAAAAAAAACCTATGGGTAAGGGGTGTAACGTGACAAGAGGAGGGACAAAGCAACTTTCTGTGTTTTGTCACATGAAACCTCCAAGGAATATATGTGACAGAAACTGTAGACCCAGACGCCATGGGGGTCTTTCCCTTTGTTTAAGACAGATTTTCATTTTGCCAATTTGAGCTTGATGCAAGCCAGAGATTTTCCTCCTCATTATGTCTGCTCATGGATTTGAAAANAAAAAAAAAAAAAAAAAAAAAACAGAGACTTGTACTGCTGAGAAACTATATGTGCAGCAGCTCACCGGAGACAACACTGTGGATACAAATGAACTGCAGGGCTTACATCACAGACTGCTCAGGCTGGATACGCACTACTACGCTATCGTTTGAAACTGCATCCACTCGGCCACAAATACGACCTCACTGGCGTACACACTACTCCAGAGTTTTAGAGAAGACTGGAAGCCGTGCAGACCTCGTTTTAGTTTGAAAACTCCCGGGCTGCTTTTTAGTCTGGACAGACAGAAACGATGACCTACACATGAACAACCACTTGCTGATTGGGTCTTTACAGTCACATCAAAGCCTTTGACTTATTCTTCAGGCTCCTATCACATGAACCCCCCCTTCCAGAAGACAATAACCGTCATTAGCCTCAGCTACAAATGCAGTAAGTTGTTGTCTTTGCAAACAGCTTTTGTGCAGTTCATTGATACAACTGCTAACGTGCTTAAGAGATGAGCTGTTATTTAAACAATCTGCAACAGTTCCACAACTAACAACCAAATGCTTCCAGTTTGCACCAGCACACGCAAGCCCAGCGAGAGATCGTTTGAGTTAGCAAAACATAGCATGGATCTAGTCTCAGCCACTTATGTAATACAGATGCAGCAATACAGGTCCAACAGAAAAATGAATAGTTCCAGAGTGATATGACTTAACATAAGCAGAGTACAACATGTAAGAAAACCCACAGAAACACCCCTCATCCTCTTGTTTTGCTCACACACATGTGGTTCACCACATTATGGACAGTCCAGCTAGTGCAGCCAGAGATGCTCAGAAGGGGCATCAGCCTATTTTATCACAATTTGCTCGCTAACCAGTTACAAATGTGGCATGTGATGACAATAATGAGGCTTGATGTCACTTAGCCTTTGGGCCGTGTGTGTGTGGAATAGCAAAGCAGGATGTCAGGGTGCTGCGGGTCCTCCACTCCGGTACTGAGAGGCTTCCTGCTCGGGAGGTGACAGACACCTCGGTTAGAGAGAGAGCCGCCTCTCTAACAGCATTATAAATTACTGTAGATCCTATTTGTGTCAGTGGAGGCAAGTGGGGGGAAAATTCAACATCAGCCTATTTATTCATTTACTTATTCCCTGGCTCGGTCAGGCACAGTGCTGCCGGAGAGGAGCCGTGGCTCCACTCTCTGCGGTGCCTCTCTGCCTCCGAACAAATGCTGTGTGTTTACAGGGACACATGGGCATTTTATTTTAGAGACAGCGGTGACATCAGAGTCATTCAGGCCAGAGGAGGGAGAGCATCACAGCAAAGCCATTTTTTATATTCTCCATAGCTGGATGAAGCAACCACAAAGTGTAAACAAACCTGCACGAATAAACAGTACAGGTAAAAATACTCTTGCTAGGACATTCTCCTTTGTTGATCAATGCTGATTTAGTTTGTTTTTTTATATTCTTATTTATATATAATGCCACACTAGCATTAGAAGAGAAGTCACATGTCAGGAAAACTCCAGGTCGTTTTAAGCATTTCAAGAGTTTTGGTTTCGTTTGTGGTGCTGTTCTGTATTAAGTTAACCAGTCTTAGTTTAAGAGTTACTAGCGAATAAGTGACATAAAAACAAAATACTAACTGACTTAAATCATAATGATAAGTAGAACCACTGAGAACAATGAGATAAATAAATTTTGAGTCAATATAATAGTTTAATTCTTTAAGAGAATATTAAACGTTCATACTTTGCGTATTAAATAACACAAGATGGATAATAGATCTTTAAAAAATTAATTTCCTTGCCAACAATGGTGGGAGGGGTGCAAAGATAAAAAGTAACCAAAGCTCAAAAGGTTCTTGCTATGGCATGCATCCATTTATTGAAAAAAAACAAAAACAATAGCTAATACAGAAAAAGAGACAGCGCTTTTTTTAATTATCGTGGGATGGCGTGGACTGTGCATCATCATTAGTTTGACTAAATAGCGTCGGTCAGTGACTCAAGCAGTGGTAAATGGTACAATTAGCAGGCTGAGCAGGGAGAGGTATATTCAATTTGAAAGCCTTCTTTCTTAATCCATCTCCTGTGATCATGAGAAATGCTGAGCTGTGGGCTTTTACGCTCAATTTTAATCAGGTTAATTCCGAGTAAAATGTCAACATTGTAATCAAGAACTAGCACACTCCAGCAAAACGTAAATGTCCTCGGACGCTAAATTTAAATGTCCAACGGCTTTTATCTTCCTTATCTCCATCTTAATGTTCTCTGTCCTCTTGTGTCTGCACAAATTCCTCTGTGCACAGTTTGGCACATTTCCTCTTCAGCTGGGCATATTTGATTAGCAGCTAAGAAAAAAGGGAGCAGAGATTAGTTAGAAACCTACATAGCAACTGACAATGAATAGCTTTAAGTACAGACACCAGGGAGGTGTTGACATGCTTCCTTAACATGAATCTGTTGTTCCTTGTTCTACTTCTCCCAGTGCCCCAGTGCTTAATCCCCTAGTGCACTAGCTCCGTAACCCCAGCAGGTGCAGTGGGAATCTATAAACACAGCTGGTGCGTCTCAGTGTCGAAACTCTCAGATCTACCCTCACCTCGCAACCTCTCGCCACCAAAGAGCCCCCCAGTTTACCCAGAATACCATGCATAACCCAGATTCACAATGCTGGCTGATTCTTTAATCAGCGCTGCGGGTACAACAAGAGTTCATGTCAACTAATGACAACTATTCAGTGCTGCTGTCAGGACTTAAAGACATTTCTCTGGGTTGAAAAGCCAATGGGAAAGCTTGTACAGCAGCATGAGACAATTAAACTCACAGAATCTCTACCAGACAAGGTTCACCTATAATATGCTTTTACTGTTTGTGTAAAATGAGAAATATTTTTAACAACAAAGACAATTACAAAACAAAGAAATTAGAGGAATAACTCCATCGTGTAACAAAATAAAAAGACAAACCATATTCATGCATATTTTACACTGAATAGACCGACTGTCAGCTAGTAGCACTGATAACAATTATTAACAGTTATAATGAGGATTAAGGGTAATGTGCAAAACTCTAGAGCAAAACATTTAGGCGTTTTCTCTACAGACAGGAAATTATGTCATACTTACTGCGACCACTAGAGGGCTTTGTCACTTCAACGTAAACAGATGCCATTATTTTTGGGCTTTTGTTTTTTTTGTTTGAAATTCTCCTAAACAACAATAAGTTGTTTGTGAGCACTTTCCAAAAATTATCTATTACAGTTACAGAAATTATTTATATTCAAATTTTGTGGTTATGGTTTGGTCGATTTTTCTATGATGAAAATCCGATGTCCTATTTACAAAATCTAGTTTGCGTTAATGCAAAATGTCCGCAACTAGCTGCTCCGCTCTTCTGCATTATATATATATATATACACACATATATATACACACATATATACATATATATATATATACACACACATGCGCACAATATATACATGCGCACAAATTACACGCAATGCACACAAGCACCAGCTGTTGAAGGATTTTCTGAAATACACGCACGAATCAATTCCTGTGAATTTGTTGTGCTTGTGCGTATCATCTGACTTGAACATTGAAAGAAGTCAGAAAACAGAAGTAGTTTATTTTAAGTGAATGACAAATTGTGTTTTTTCGGACGAGGACAGTTTTGGAAGTCATTGTAAATATGTAGAGAGGTCTTGCTGTCAATGTATATGAACAGAGTCACATATTTGATGTCAAGCATTTAAAAGTCTAGATTAAAAGATGGAGAAGTGATTTATGATTGTAAAAACATTACAACCCTGACAATAGGTGTTAAAATAATGTAATACCTTACACTCTATCAACTGAAATCTGTTTTCCTGCTGTATGTACAGAGATGTCACTGGGTGTCTCCTCTCTTTTCTAGAAACTTGATGACTCTGGGTATCGGCTGTCTCATTCACTCTGATTTAATGTTCTACTTGGCTTTGCATTTTAACTTGTTAAGGTGTCGTGGTCTATACCTGCCCGAGAACGTTGGTCCTGATTGCTTAGGAAATTCAGCGGTGCCTGTGTGTAATGAGAGTGGACAGAGGTTAGAACAGCTCAATAGAAGAGATAACCAGTCTTTGATCCAAACAGCCATGCAGAACATACAGGCAATACCATCAGAAAATGTCCTGTCAGGAATTTTGGAGTTTAAATTACTCCTGATTAACCTGAGTGGAAGTGGAGGAAGAGTTTTGGTGGACTTGAACAGGCTGCAAAGAAACATGAAGACAGTAGCTCACAAAAAACAGTCAACTTTCCTGAAATCTTATACGGCATTTACAAAATAAAATGACATTCTAAACATGAGCTTTTCATCAGTTGTCACGTCTAAGAATATTTCTGAAGCTCTTATTGTAATGAGGCTTTTTATTCATGCACCTGTCACTCACTTCCATCTAAAGTGATGCAGGAGTGTGACAACAGCCTTCGCTGATCAAGATCAGTGAACAGTCTCACGTCTGCAGATGTTTACTTTGTTAGTATTTCAAAACATCTACACATCAAACCGCTGCTATGAAACATGAATTATCTTCACCTTGTGTAAGGAAACATGTAGAATGATTTTTAAATTTTTCCAAATGGCATGATATGTTGACTGATACGAAGGCTGCCGATTGCTATACCCCACAATGATTAACTTCAACACACCAGTGATTTAACCTCTTCTTTTACAAGGGTCAACTATTGTCAGGTATAATTATACTTAAAAGTTTGTCTTCCACAAGCAAGCTAAGCTAACTAGCATCCAGGCTTTCAGTGGATGCTATTCTGATTAGCTAATGTTAGCACCATAGACCATGCATAAGGATCTTCACTTCCTCCCACTATACAGAAACAAAGTCAAAATTACCCAGATGCCAACGTCATTTTGCGCCAGACTGGAGACGATTCCATTGGAGAAAACTACAATGCATATTTTTCTTAAAACTACTGTTTTGGCAAAATGAGGTCACAAGTCAAAAACCCATGGAAATAATAATTTATAAGCAAAAACTAATTTTCAGCTTAAAAACTGAGGGTAAACTGATAAAACAAAGACAATAATTAAAAACAGCAAAGTGCTTATTTCTCTTCCCTCCAAGATAAAGATGGCCTACTATCTGTTGATGTCACTGCCCCCTGTAATTAATATTTTTCTTTAATCAGTATTATGTTTGGATTTTTATTAAAAGTGTTAATTGATACTAAACATTGTCTCAAATCCCTCAGCTAATTAATATTCACAAGGGCGAGTTAAAAAAAAGTAAAATAAAAAAACACCTCAGCCACAGTGTGACAGTGCCTTCCAAAACACCTGAGGGGGAAAATGATTTCCTCATCGCCAGGCTAATGGCCTTCATTTCTGTTAATCTGTGGCCCAGTGTTTTCCAATTTGGAGGGTGTATCCTCACTCTCCACCGTCTAATATGCTCCGGGGCCGGGGAGAGGCCACCCGCACCTCATCTTGTGGCACTTGAATAAATGGAGGCAACCTGATTGCTGGGAAGCACGAGGCCAGGCAATAAAGCAATTAAGACGTTCCTATACTTATCCAAAAGACAGGGCAGCCACCGCTCCAGAGAGAATTAATTTGTATATAATGGTTTCTTCTAGTTTTTGATTCACATATTTTGTTCCAAGGCTTTTTGGGGCTCTTTTGTGTGGTGAGTACACTCCTCCATTGGCTTGTCAGATAGATGAAAACAAATCTGTGGTTAATAGGTCCTCAGTGGACAAAAGAGGTCTATTGGAGAGTTGTTTTCTAATGAGTGGGAGGACAGGAAGTGACCAGAAGAAAGGACACTGATAACAAGGTTGACAAACAGCTGCTCTTCTGTGGGCTGACTGGATCTTGAGAAGATAACAGATACTACTGACAACGAAAAAGGCAAATTGTTTGCCAACAATGTATAAGTAGAGTTATCAAAAGTAAAAAAAATATAACTTCAGCTTGAAACCCCGAAATTAATTTCTGTATTGCTAATTTAATTTTCCCAATGAAGCCCTTAAAAACTCAAGTATCATAATATTTTTTTGTCAGATAACACACACAAGTGGTCTTATTGAAAAAGCACAAACATTAAAACTATTTTAACCAAAGTGATGATCTTCTGAGTCCTCACATGGGTCACAACACAAAGTCCAGTCTCAGTCGTCCACTTATTTGTACTTCACAGTCATCTAAATCAAAACATACCAGTATAAGTGACAAAACATGTTATTTTCCCATTAGTAATATTGGTTAACTGACATTTTAGCGTAATTGGTTCATTACAACCAATTTTCTTTTGTAAAGAATGTAACCCAGAAAAAACAACAAAGGAGTTCAAAGAGTGATAATCATTTTCTAATCACAAGTGTGATGGCTTATAGACACTAAATGTTTGAGAGCAAACAATTTTCTCTCCAGCTGGTCTCTTTATAGATCATGAAAATATACTACTTAAATCAATGGGAGACATCCCACACACAATGGCAGCCCTGCTGTTCAATGATGGCTTTTGTATTGGGGATAATCTACTAAGGTCATCAATCATGTCATGCATCCTCTTAAAAAGAAAAAGAAAAGACACGGCTGACGTAAAGGATTGAAACATAAATTTTACAAAAATGTGAGTTCATGTGAAAGCTGTAAAGGAAATGCATATGTTTAGCACCATGCTAGGGGAATACTTTAGATGAAACACAAAGGGAGTCAATAAGGCAAAGTGTTCCAGATTCACTGTCAGGCATGTGGAGAGACAGGCGTTTTCACAGCTAAAGACTCCCTGGTTGAGCTGGAAATGTACAATTGACCCTGTCTGCCTTTTCAAAATGGTGCAACATTATAACCTGGGGGAATGTGTTGTCATCCAAATGAGATAAGTTTATTTTCTGCGATGTAGCATTTGTTCCATCAGGCGGGGAGGCTATAAAGCTCGACGGATCAGTGGGGAGTCGAGCTCGGCACATGTGGTGCGAACAAGGAGCCCGACGAAAAGGCTTGGCCACCGCCCAAATCTCTGCCTCTGCCTTCTGTGCGGGCCCAGCCTGGGAAAGCAGGAGGCCACAATATTGTGGAACAAATTTCCTCTAATCTGAGCGTGCTGGTCCGGGGGCTCCGGCGGGAAGACTGCTCTCCTGTGCCCTCCCCGCCTGTCCCACAGATCAGCCCAGTTTACCCTTCACAGTGCCAACACACTGCAAGACGAATGAAGTGTCGGCGGGGGGGTGAGGGCTGCCGGGATCTCGGCCTTCACACGGACCGCTCATGTGTGCTCTCAGCAGGCCAGAGCTTTGCCCTGGAGAAAGGAGCTGAGTGGAGAAGAGCTGGCACGGGAATGGCCAGATCCCACCTGCATCCTCACAGCCAACGCTCGTACAACTTTCTCGACTTTAAAGCGTGTCACTATCAGTCTGAGACTAAATTATTATTGCTCTTTAAATCGAGTCGAATACTAAAATATCATTTAGTTTTCTTATTCTCTGGGTGCTCAAATTAAACCATATTAAAAGATGTAACCAGTACGTTTTTTACAATTAAAAACACAAGAACTTTATATTTGTTCAGTTCTAAGTGCAGAGCTCCTTCTGTTGTCAAGGACTACATTTAGATTAAATGCGATGCCATAGGCGCCGATGGAGACAAGTCACGTGCTCTGCTGGGGACTGTATCCATCAGCTTCCAGTCATTTTACAGCAGCATGCGGAGCTCCTCGGCTCAGGATTGATTGAGACAGGAAAGGAGTGGGAGTGATGAAATATATAGCAGATAATTATTTATAGTGGTGATGCTGTGAAGCTCCTCCAGCACTTTTTTTTTTTGCTTGCAGGGAGCTCCTCAGGAAATAAACATTGTTTATACACCACAAGTTTGAGTGTTAAAACTTTGAAGTGACAGCTTAAAGATGAATTCAACACTTGACTGACTTGTGGTTGAAGGCTTAATCTTGATTTCAGGAGTGATGAAAAGATTACCTCGAGTTAAACTAGTTGAAAATGAAAGTCTTAACATATGACTTTCCTTTTAATAGATTTCATTTCTGGTTCTACTCAGGTCAGTAAATATCGTCTCTCATCTGAACTATCTGGTGCTTCCTTGTTTGTGTGGAAAAAGCCTCTACAAATTAAGTTTAATCAAGTCAAAAACTTCCTGACACCAGGCAGGTGGATACATAAACACTGTGCATCATAACAGAGTCAGATGACCATATTCTACATCCCCCAGTCACCAGTTCATAGTCACAGAAAAAGAGGGAGTAAATGATCCAATCACACACTTGAGGTGAAGTTAGTGTGATCGTCACTGAGCCATGTTTACATTTCTTTGTTAATTGTAACACATTGCAGTACTTTCACACGGGGATCATGGGGAAACATCACTGGTTCATAACACATGGCAACTGGTGAGAATCTTACACGATAAGACAAAAAAACATGATTGAAGAACTAAATACGAGTGTGGGTAAATGTACAGTATATACTGTGTATGTATAATCATGTAGAATATGGTAGCATGTACTGCTTATGGGTATACTTATACTAACATTTTATATTTATGTTTGATCAGTATTTTTATATATATATATACACAAGTGTGGTGGAAATACATTTTGACTGTGTTGGTGTAGGGTGTAAAATGATAACACATTAAGTTACGTACAATGTACTTTTTTTGGCTTATATAACTCCAAACAACAAAAATGCTTTGTTTGCTTTGTTTCCTGTGTGTATGGATACTCACATGTCAGACGGATTCTTCCAGGAACCATGCAAACCTATTTGGGGAGGCAAGAACAGAATGTAAATACATTGACCAGCTTTTGCTGAACACAAATAGCATAAAACATATGGTTTATTGAGTCTTAAGAATTATTCCTTGAATTATAAGCAAGAATTTACACGATCACGATCAATAGAACTAATCTATAGACTTTGTTTTCTATAAACAAAATGTTTTCTATTGGTATACAGCATTTACTTGCATTGTATTTCTGCTGTGGTCATTTAAAAATGAGGTAGAAGAGTGTGAAGCACAACAGTTTATCAGTCTTCATCTCTGGACGGCTTACGGGAGCCCATTCTAGGAAATTTTCCAGCTGCAAAGCCTAGCTGAGCGCCGTTAAGCACCCGAGTGCACCCCGAGCCATTTTCCATTTGCAATAAACCCCGTTTGAAACAGGGCAGAACAACAGAAAAGTTGACTTGTTAACACTGGGAGAAGGAGGAGGACTTGTATGGTCTCAAATGAGCAGTCTGGGGCATTTTCATGCACCCCAGGAGGGGGAGGGACGGAGGGGGGGACAGACAGGGAGGAGGAGGGGGCTGTGATTTCCATAGCAACAGTCAAGTCCCCAGCTGTCATGTTTGGGCTGAGATAGGTGCTGTGAGCATAGGGACCACTTAACCCCGGCCACACTTCAGCTTCGGAAGTTAAGATGCTGCTGAGTGTCTGTGCTGTGCCTCACTTAAAATGCAAACTCTATACCCCAGGGAAGATAAGGGAATGCTTCTGAATTAACCCAGAGATACGGGAGCTATGCAAAAAGCCTCCTCAGAAATAATTAACCATTAATGTTTTTGGATGTCATTGAATGAAGTGCAATAAAAAAAAGAAAATGCACAGTGAGAGCAACGAGCCAGGCTCACAGACAATGATCAAACAATGGTGGGGGTCTATTGTTTAGTAACCCGAGAAGACAAACTGTCAGAAGTAAAAATGTCCAGTGCTGCAACATCAAAAGTATATTTTGTTTTAAGTTATTTGAAACCAGAAAACCTGAAAAATAATAATTCAAACCTATTTATTGCATCTTATGCAGTGGGACAGCTCTGTAATTTATAGATCCATAATGTCAAAATAAAAGCCTTGACAAATAGGTTGTATTGCATTCTCTGTAAAAAAAAAAAAAGACGCTCATTGCACTTATTATTCTCCACCATTGTCCAGGTCACAGGGTTTATCCCGACAATCACGAGCAGCTGAGCGCTCTTGATGCTGAAATGAGCAAAAATGAACTCATATTAAGTGTGAAGCTACAAGCGTTTGGTTAGACAGGGAACATGGTATTATTACAGTGTTTAAAGTGGGGCTCTTTAGCTGCTGAAATACACCACAGTCTAACGAAAGGGCAGAGCATGAGAAGCAGAGAAAAGGGAGGTAACATATAGAGTCAGAGTAGAATGAGAACAGCTCTTTTGACTTCAGTAAACAGCAGTTGCTGAGAGGACATGTTTTTTGACTGTCACAGCCAGTAAGTTCACTCATTTCAAATGTTATACATATAAAGTGTTTTAGACAGTCAGCTGTTTTTAACTTCCACTGTTTGTATTGGTCACTCGTAAGGATGGAACGGCTACCAGTTTCCCTGTTAACCATGGAGAGATTTCCAGTGGTTAGTATTACCATGGGAAATCTAAATTACCATTAAAACCGCGGTCGATTACCAGTGTAAAGCTCATGGTAAAAACTGTCCAGCATCAACCACAGTGAGCAGCGGTGTCCCACACGCTGGGGTAGCATGCACTGGGTTTGTTATATGCATGTGTGAAGTTTATTTAGTGTTTCATTCACTTGAAAGTTTACAACACGAGACATGACACACACAGCAAGAACATCAGGGTTGAAGTGATCTGGATTCATGATCCAACATTATTGATAAAATGAGTAAATAAATGTGATCGTAGGTTTGTGTGAAGAGAAACAGACAAGCAGACACACACAAGTTCTTCCCACAGGCAGATTATGATGCAACGCAATGTTTAAACTTTATTGCTGCAGAATACGTGATGCTCTTCAAGTGATATCAATCTACTCATGTAAAGTGAATAAGTTTGTTCAGTAATGTTTCACCCTTAAACAGAGGAAATGTAATTAAGGCCTCAAAGACATGATGGTACATTAATTGTCACTTCACCCCGAGAATGTATGAAGATAAGTAACATCGACATGTAACATGTGAAATTGGTCTATTAATT